GCCGTAGGGCTGGAAGGGGGGCACGGGGGCTGGTCCCAATCTGGGTTGGAGGAGAGCTGTCCCGGCCACATGGAGATCCATCCTGATCTCTACACAGCTGAGGGAGCTGACCAGCAGTTAGGACAGCTCTCTCAGCCATATGGAGATGGGACAGGTCCCTATCTCCACATGGCTGGCAGGAAGCAGCCTACCAAGCCAGGATAGCTCTCCCCACGCCCTGTGACACCCTGCTGCTTAGGCTGACCAGAAGCTATTTGCTCCCAGTCAGTGTCTACACATGCACTTCGGCACATTAATTTAATATGCTGATTTCTAGTACCTGTGCTTACAGGTACTAGAAAATGGTGCATTAGACTAATCTACTGAACAGTAATTGCTACACATGTGTAGACAGTGATGCTTTACTGCACATTAGATTAGTCTAATGTGCAGTAAGGTGTCTTGTGTAGATGCACCAATGTCTAGCACTTTACACTGGTCTGTGTTGAATTTCAATTCTGTTGTCCAATGCCAATTCTCCAATCTATCAAAATCCTTTTGAATTGTAATACTCACATCCAAAATGTTTGCAGTCCCTCCCAGTTTTAACTCATCTGTGAACTGATCAGGATGCTTTCCATTGCGTCATCCAAGACATTAATAAAAAATGTTAAATAGCAGCAGACCCAGAACAGCCCCTCGTAGTGCCCTACTTGTAACCTTCTGCTATTCCAATATTGAGCCATTTATAGTTACTTTCTGCTTCCAGTTCTTCAGTCAATTATGCGTTCACCTTCTAGTAATTCTATCTGGCCCTCATTTTTCTAATTTATTTATGAGAATGTCATATGCGACTGAATTAAAAGCCAAGTATATTATGTTCACTGAATTCCCCTCATCCACCAAACTAGTTATTCTGTCAATGGAATAAGCAATAATTGAATAATCTTACAACAAAATAGCTGGCACATTGGAAATCTAACTGCTAGTTTAATGAGCAACATGCTAGTCGCACAGTTTTATCTTCCCAGATATCAACCTGGACAGGAGAGGGGTTACAGTAGTTCAATCATACACGATTTAATGATCAACTCAGTGTTATCTCTTCTAAAGTGAACAGGAGTATATATAAATTCTTTAACCTGGAAGAACCATATAACAAACTATTACTAGGGAAGACCTCTTTGTTCTGAAACAAACTTAGAATACCAAAAAGATACAACATGAAAATAGCTCAAGTCTTTCTTTTCATTGCCTCATTTGCTATTTCTGCCAGATCTGAGAAAGATTATTCTGCCTTCGATTCTATATCTCCCGAGCCAAAATCAAAATTTGCCTTGTTAGACGATGTACGAATTTTAGCCAATGGACTCCTCCAGCTTGGACATGGTCTTAAAGACTTTGTCCAGAAGACCAAGGGGCAAATCAATGACATCTTTCGAAAACTTAATATTTTTGACAAGTCATTTTATGAGCTGACACTACAAACAAATGAAATCAAAGAAGAAGAAGAAGAGCTCAGAAAAACAACCTCCATATTAAAAGTTAACAATGAAGAGATAAGGAATATATCGCTTGAGCTGATTTCAAGGATTGAAAACTTCATGCAAGAAAAAATCCAGCTTCAAGAGAAAGTAGGTGGACTGGAAAAGAAAGTAGCTAAATTAGTCCATGGACAGCCTGTAATTCAAGAATCAAAAGAAATTACTTCACTCAAAGTAAGTAAACTTGAGAAACTCATGTGGTAGAAATCCAAAGTAAACAGGAATGCTATTTTAAGTAATTTATGCAATGCAAAACCATGCTTTCTTTACATAGTTTTTGTAGTCAAAGTGGTATTTTTTCTGAGAAAAGAAGAAATCAGAACCATAATCTTACAGGAACCAATTTAAGTGTCTTAACATGGGCCATGACTTGCCATCAGTTTTAAAGCAATGCCCCCCCTCCCACACAGACTTAAAATCTGTAAGGAAATATGTTTGGAAACTGATTACATGATATGGCCCTATATGCTTGTTTTACGGGTTTTCTTAAACAATTTCAAAATACAGTACACTATTAAAAATGCTAAAATCCTTTGAAATCTGGAAATTAATGCTATTAAGAAAACTGCAGTATAGCAAGGTTATCAGCTGCTTGAAAAACGGTGGTGTACAAGAATTCGGCTAGGTTCAATATTGACCAGAGTTAAAAACATCCCTAAAGAGGAATATCTATGTAACAACTCTATTTATAAGGCCCATGTTCCCACCAAATCTAAGTGTGTTTTGCAACTGTCTATGGATTTATTCTCACACCATCCCTGTGAGAAGGAAGTGCTATTACCAACCCATAACAGATGGGGAACTGAAGCACAGAGCGGTATTGGCCTGAGGTCACATAGGAAGCCCATGGCAGAGGAGGGAGTTAAATTCAGACCTCCAGAATCCTAGGTCAGTGCCATGGCCAATGGAGTATCCTGCCTTCTGCTAGCACGTTGGAATATGTTCAGGCAGAATCCACACAAAAATTCTAGTCACCCAAAGAGCCTGCTGAAGGGACTTTGATCCTTGCAGAAAAGGACTATTTTTTTGCAATTTCCCAGTTGGTCTGATAAAAGATATCATTTTGCAACCAAGACTTGTAGTTTTTTTCTACATCATCTTGTCTCAG